TCAGTAACAATTTTCCTCAGGTGGAGGCGCGCACGCCGGAAAAGTGTGTTTCTGCTGTAATGAACAGCAGGCTGGCTCTCTGCCTGATCAAATTCCACTGCAGCCTCGCACCTATCCTGCCTTCCAAAAAATGTTCAGCATACCAGTGGGTTTTATTGACTTGTCAGAGCAGACAGCAGAGTGCAAGCTCTGCCTTGTAAGGTGTGGACCTGACAGGTTTCTAACGCAGGAATGTCCACTGATGACTTCTTATATTTGGGATAGTTTTGTGTATTTCTGCTGTAGTGTCTCAGGAGTATTTGATTGTGTAGTCATCTGGTTGGTAAATGTCCCTTTAGGACAAATTAACAAAGATATTTGATGCATTAAGATCAGTTATGAAATGTGGCACTAAAGCAGCAATAAAATCCACTTTAAACTGTTGTTTTAAGTTGAAATTTGCAAAGTAAGCTCATGAAATTTTACACGATGAACTCGTCTTGGGGAGCAGTATTACAGATGTGCAAAAAGGTTGAATAAATAATTTTTGTGGCTCCAGGCAGGTATGTGAGAGGTCTGATAAATTTGAGGCTTAAGTTGAAAAATGCAAGAAGAAGAAGAAACAAATGCAGCGGTGTGGAGTTCTCCACTTGCTCCTCCTTTCAGTTCTTTGAAACTCTGCAGCCAAACTCCCTCTGATAATGCAAAATAAAGCAATTTTATTTAACTTACAACCAAACCAAAAAAAAAAACATCATATCTGCAATTTTACATGTGGGAATGTTATGTTTAGTGTTGTGATTCACACTAAACGATGATACATGGAAACCTTGTAAACCACCTTCCTTCCTTTGTGTGGTCGTTCCCACACTTGTGCAGGATGTGCACAAACATATTTACCAACTGGAGGCGCACACTGGTGAATCTGAGTCCAGCACAGGGAGGTATGGTATCCTGCCAGTGCTGACAGATGCTGCTCTGCTATCTTGTGCACGATGACTTTAGCCTCTTCCCCCTCTTTCCGTCTTCTTTACTCTTTCCTCTCCCCCTCCATCCTGCAAATACAGTTAACTGCATGACCCTCCCTGCTGAACGGCTGCGAACAGCTGCCTCAGTTTTTTTTGGTGGTTGCCTGTGAGAGCATGTAATTGCATTTGGCCCTGGGTGCACATGCACTCATTAAACCAGTGTCGGTGCCCATTATGGTGCATTCCAAGGCACTGCAACACAGGTAGGAAAGCGTAAGTCCCATGCAGGCATGAAAAAAAGGTGCTCAGAGGAGGTTAAAGCATGAACCACAAGAGCACGGAAAGCTTCAGTTCAAAACAATCCACACAGATCTCTGTTGAAATGATCGTTTACAAGGTAAATTTACATTTGCATGTGATCATGTCAGTCAATACTTTCATTATTTTCCTGCACACAGAGTAAATTCACACATACCGTACACACCTAGAGCTGGATAAATATTATCAAGTCTAAAATAGATACTGACAAAATAAAGCCAACAGTGCATGTTTTGCTGAAATAATTTGGCTGCTCTCGGTCTTTAGGGCTCAGAGAGGATCAGATATGCTATGCTGGGATCGGATCCACTCTGGGATCATGTGCAGAATTCCAAAAATGCCCATCAACATGCCAAGTATTGGCGTAGAAGGTTCTGCTGAACATTCTTTACCCCAAGCAAACCAATAAATATGATCAACTCAGCTTTTTCATTCAACCTTTATTGATACAGGTTAGTCTCATTGAATCTCCAGGACTCATTTACAAGAGAGACCTGTTTTTAACAAAGAATGATGACAACAGTAGACAATCTTAAAAGAAGGCATATAAATTGAAAAAAAAACTATTGTACTTGCCGCCGTACACGTTGCACCGCCATACAAGTCCCATCAGTCCAAACATGTCTAATAAAGTGGAAAAAAAAAACTAAATAAGTCACTTCGCCGTATAAGTCGCAACTATTATGCGTCACTACTGACATGTTACGTTTGTTATGCATCACTGCTGACCACCTGGACTATTTGTTGCTAGAAATTATAGCAAAGGTGTGTCTCAGTTGAACTTTTCCTTAATAAATGCACTATATTGGTCAAATCAGCTGCATTTCAAAAATCAATTCGCAGAAGCAGGAGCGCGCAGAGGGAGGACTCGCTGTGCATTTCTTCTAAATTTAACAAGATAACCACCTAAAAATAATTATTTGCTTGCTTGACATTATAGTAAAAGTGTGTCTCAGTTGAGCTTTTCCTTAATAAATGCATTTTACTGGTCAAATCAGCTGCATTTCACTTGGCAGGCGCAGCAAAATGCAGCTGATTTGACGTTTGCTCCAGGAGTTCCAGAGCAAGACGAAGGTGGCTTGGTATGGCAAGCCAAGTGTCTCATTAATAGCCACTGTTACCTATTAATGAGACACTTGGCTTGCCATATCACTCGAGGACCCTCTAGTGGCTGAAAATGGTAGTGTTCAATATATCCTGATGCATGCTCAATAATCCAGGTAGAAAAATCTAAAAAAAGTTAAGTCTGGTCCTCTGGACATTCAAAGAAACAAAACAAAACAAACAAAAAAAAATTGTAGAAACGTTTCGTCCTTCATCCGAAAGACTTCATCTGAAGTCTGAGGAAGTCTTTCGGATGAAGGACGAAACGTTTCTACAATTTCTTTGCTTTGGTTTTTGTGAATGTCCAGAGGACCAGATTTAACTTTTTTAGGTAGTGTTCAATATTTTCCATGTCAGAATGAATGAAATCGTTAGATCTCAGCCAAAAATTGGGTTATAAAAAAGTGTGGGGGGGGGGGGGGGGACAAACCCCGGGCCGGGGGCCTTTCTGGGTGGAATTTGCATGTTCTCACCGTGCATGCGTGGGTTTTCTTCAGGTTCTCCGGTTTCCTCCCACAGACCAAAAACATGCATGTTAGGCTGATTGGTAACTCTAAATTGTCCCTAGGTGTGAGTGAGAGAGTGAATGGTTGTTTGTCTCGTTTGTCTTTATGTGTCCCTAGGTTGAATCCAGGTTAATCCCATTGAGCCTCAGAGAATCATTTACAAGAGAGACCTGAAAAAGTGATATAAAATATTTTATGGCAAAAAGGTGTGACTTATACGGCAAAAAATACGGTAAATGGAAGAAAATGGTATAAAAAACTAAACACAACAGCTACGTTATTAAGCGCTATAAAATACTAAAAACAGGAGCATGTCTACGTTGGTTTTTGCCATGACCTTAGTGGAGTTCAATATTTTCATACTGAACATGTTTGAGCACTCTGCTGATGAGGAGGAGGAAAAAAAAAAGGTTTAGAGCTGAGTTTGGAGTTGGTGGAATACTAAGTAAAGATTCCTCAAAGCCACAAAAACAGACATAATGCCCTCGGTGGCTTTCAGGTCCTGTAACCATCAGTTATTGTGGCACAGGGTGTCGTGCTGGGCCTATTGTCATGGTCTGGGGCCTTGCAGCTGTGTGGGGCAAACCCGTCGAGCAGTAAGGTGCTCCGTTTGCTCTGAATTCCACAAATAATTACTGACATTTCTCACAAGAGGCTAACAAAATACATTTAGACTTGTGTTCTTCATCTCAGTGTGACATATTTATGGCATGAGAGCAGGTGGAAGCTCAAATGAACCGTAGGCTCTGCGTCAAACTAATGCAGGAGCAGCCTGACACCTAGTGTACAGAGCGTGCTCACACATTTGGGGGTTCACCATCACCACACCCAGAAATGAGCAAGCAGTGACAAGAAGAAAAAAAAAGAGAGGAAAAAATACACTTAATTGTTGCAGAAAACATAAAATTGTTCAAGTTTGTCCGGTTGTTCACTGACAAATATTGCATTTTAGCATCATTACCTGCAGCGTCCCATTAGTGCGGACTGAATTTGGCAAAAGGGCCTTCTCTTACTCTGCTTCTGTAACCTGGAACACCTTCCAAAAATATCTGAAGGGATTTTAAACAACTGTTTAGTTCAATGCAAAAATCATTGCAGATGTTCCTGTTTTTAGTATCTTACACTGTTTTATAATGTAGCTTGTATTTTTATTTTGTTTTATATCACTTATTTTATTCACTTTTCATTATATATGCTTTTATATGAATGTTTATTGTTGTGTGTACCTGATTTGTGGTTTTTGTTTAAAACGTCTTTCTTTTAAATGAGTCCATGTGACTCACTGAGACTAACCTGTATAAATAAACCCAGCAATGTTCAGTCAGATCATCTGGACAGTTCCTTTTTGTTGTTGAGAGACGTTTCGCCCTCCATCCAAAGGACTTCATCAGATGACCTGACAGAACATTGTTGGATTTTTTTTTTTTTTTTTTTTACCTGAACCTTGCTAAATAAAGGTTGAATGAATGAAAGGGTGTAATGCTGTGATGGTCCAACAGATGGCAAAACGTGTCCAGTTTTATAAATGAGACTCACTCAGGCCTTGTCCCTGAACTGGGCCTCTTTGAACACATTTTGTTCAAACACATTAGGAGGAAAACCACTGAATTTAAAGAAGAAAAGACAACCTAGATTCCAACACTTCAAACCAAATTATTAATAAAACATAACCGGGACAAATGCTAGTTATATAACCGAGACATATTGAGGGGTTTAATAATCTGGCTTGTTGGGTCAGGCTCCCAAAAAGCAGCAGGTTGAAACTCCTTTAAATCCGAGGGGTCATGCTGTTCTCTGCTGACTTGAATGATGAGCCGCAAAGAGCAGACAAAGGCAGTGTGTGCGCGTGCGTGTGCGTGAACCCCTCCTGGTGGTAGGCTGGAGATGAGCTGCGCAGACCGACGCATCTTCCTGGCCTGTCCTCCCTCTTTCTCCTCCTCCTCTCTGCTGCCGCCGGTGGTCTCTCCTTCCTCCCCTCCTGTCTGACACCACCAGGACATTTAACCGGCTCGCGCCATGCTGCGGTGAATTAATAAGTGTGGGGGGGCCGCAGTCTGCGGTGTTTCCAGGGGATGTAGAGAAGAAGAAGAAGAAGCAGACGAAGAAGAAGAAGAAGAAGGAGGAGGAGGAGGAGGAGGAGGGGACGGAGGCACCGCGCCGTGTCTGCCCAGCTCGCTGCATCGCTGAGCGGCCTGCCGACAAGATGTCGACCAGAACGCCATTGCCCACCGTGAACGAGCGTGACACCGAGAACGTAAGTGCTGCTGTTTAAATAAAAGCTAGGCGGACAGGAAGGGATCAATGGAGGCGTTTTATTCTGTTTTTTTTTTATGCGCGCAGCCCTTCTAGAGGCTACAGAGCGACTCCTCCAGGCTTTCCCTCCCTCTTGTCTTTTTTTTTTAAAGCCTCCTTCCTTGTCGGAAATACAAGCAGCTAACTCAATAAAAAAATGAAACTGCAGCTTGTTTGTCCTCTCCACGGAGCAGGTTAGCATAGCGCACTGCGTCAGTCACGGCTCTTCCTTTTGTTGTTCCCACTGTGAAGCTTTTGTGTTTAATTTGGTGAATTAAAAGAGAGCATTGCAATTAGCTTCCACGCGTGTGACCGTGGGTATTTCTGTGCCCCACAGCGTCAATATTTCGGGAGGGTGGGGGAAGGTTGTTGTCCTACTTTTGGTTGGTAGCATCGCAATGTGACATCCATCAATGGTCCCTCTGCTGTAGCTGCACACTCACATGCTGAGGAAGAGGAGGACACTGATGGGCTTTTATTAAAATGCATCACTTTAAATCACTGTAGACTTCTCAGTGTGAAGGAATGCTACTCGTTCCAGCACTTTTCTCTCTTCCTTAAACACTGATTTAAAAAGAAACAGCAACAACTGTGTGATGCACCTTGTTTAGTGGAGATCAGGTGAAGATCAAAGCATGACAGGCTCTGACACATCAGGCTTCATCTGATGTTTCCTGGAAACTGAGCCCTCTTCATAAAGATGCTCTGTGTTGTCAGCAGTATTTTAAAGGTCAGCTCAAGCTGCAACTACTGGGCCAGAATTGGTTTATGGATCATTTGGTACATGGCAGAGAGGGAAAAGCTTTTCCTAAAATAAACAAATAAACTACTTCAATACATGTGTATACAGTAAATGGGTCTGGGGTATCATATTTTAAAAAAAGACCACTTCTGCTTGCATCTTCTTCCTGTGCTTGCCCGTTGCAGTTACTTTTTAGGTACTAGCAAACCCTACAACTAAACCTTGCTAACCAAAAAAGCTAACCTTTTTAAATCCAACAATCTAACCCTATTGTGAAACAAACAAGCTAACCTGAGCAAACCAATCAAGCTGACTCAAACAAACTTAAAAATAGCTGACATGAGCAAATCTTAGACGCTGACCAAGCAAAAACCCAGAAGGTAACCCAATTAAACCTGAGAAGGTACCTGGAGCAAACCAACAAGCTAACCTCCGCTAACCGACAAGCTAATCTTTGCTAACCAACAAGCTAATCTTTGCTAACCGACAAGCTAATCTTTGCTAACC